CGAGTCGACTTGTCTAAGCAGCACCTTGGAGAAATCTCCGTGAGTAACAAGCCGACCCGTGCAGCAGAGCTGGGATTGGTCCTCAGCGAGGCCCTCGCCCGGGGCAGCATGTCCCCCTTGGAAGCGCAGAGCCTGCGCGGCAGGCTCATCTTCGCTGAGCAGCAAGCCTGGGGTCGTAACACTCGCATGGCAGTGATCCGCGTAGGCGACGTCCTTGGGGATGGACCAGAGCAAGTCCCCCTCACCGAGCAGCAATGCCAAGCCATGGCGTTCCTGCTGCAACGAGTAGTGCACGGACCGCCCAGGACAGTGTCCATCCATGCGCGCAGGAAGGTACACCTGTACATCGACGGGGCCTGCGAGTGGGAGACCCCACGTCTGGTGCCCAAGTGTGGCCTCGGAGCAGTGCTCATTGGAGAAGGCATCGCCTTCACCTGGGGGCTGCAGATCAGCAGCCAGGTTGCAGCCCAGTGGGTTGCCAGGGCACAGAAGCAGCAGTTGGTCTACGAGTGCGAGCTGTTGCCCTATTTGCTTAGCCTTCAACTGTGGGCCAAGCATATAGCAGGCAGTGACCTGTTCGTCTGGATAGATAACGACGCAGCGCGTACTTCCTTACACAAAGCCTTTACACGCAAGGTAGAAGGCGCAGCGATAGTCTCGCAAGCGGTGGACTTTGAAGAGTCTCTGCAGTGCAGGGCTGCTTTCTTCCGAGTACCGACAGACAGCAACATCGCTGATGGCCCCAGCAGAGACTGGTGGGAAGAGACCGAGCGGCTAGGCGCAGCGCGCCAATACCTGCCGCCCAACGCAGTGCCGTTGGCTTTGTCACTCGGCGCGGACTAGATGGGGGGTGAGTAAGGCTTCGAGTGCCTTCAAGGGGGGTGAACCAGTCGTTCGCCTTACCATCGACCAGCGGTCGAGTTTTGAATCAAGATGCCAGTGGCATCTTTTCGTCAGTGCCCGAAGATCGGGCCCGAACTGACCCCCCATGTCCGCTAGGAGAAAAAAGAGAGTGTTTTGCACAGGGTTCCTCTGCAGCGCAGTTAGGGTTTCCCAAACGCGCGCTAACGGAAGTTTCGTTGGAAAATAAGCATCCATCATGCGTGCGTGAATGGGTTTTATTTTCCGCCGAAAGTGTAGACAAAGTTTGTCGAAAAAGGAAAACAGTGTTTTCACTTGTGTGTGAGTGACACTAGACAAACTTTGCCGTGCAGCTTTCGGCTTGGAGTTGGATCTGTGATCCAAAAAGTTTTTGTCCCACCCACCACACCCTGTATAGTATGCGGGGTCTGGGACACCGCGTCGGCAGCAGAGCTGCCAGGAGCAGCGCTCCTATGTTCTCTCCCGCAGAGAGGCGTCAGCACAGAGTGCGCTCTTGTACATAGGCCGTAGGCCGTCAGACTACAGAGTAGCAACTGGTAGCTGCAGTGACCCAGTAGGTCAGAGAATGTTTCACCTTACCTTCCCGTGGTACGGGTTTTTCCCTGGTAGGGGGGGTGAACCAGTCGTTCGCCTTACCATCGACCAGCGGTCGAGTTTTGAATCAAGATGCCAGTGGCATCTTTTCGTCAGTGCCCGAAGATCGGGCCCGAACTGACCCCCCATGTCCGCTAGGAGAAAAAAGAGAGTGTTTTGCACAGGGTTCCTCTGCAGCGCAGTTAGGGTTTCCCAAACGCGCGCTAACGGAAGTTTCGTTGGAAAATAAGAACATATATATATATATATATATATATATATATCGGTATCTGCAGGCTGGGAAGCCCTCGACTTCGACAACACGTGGATCCCCAGCACACTGCGGTTGGAGGACACCTCTTGGAACACCAAGCTTATATATAAGGCATGCATGCATGTTGCCAGGGGGATTTCGATGTAGAGCCGCCGGAGGTGCCGAATCCATCGCTTATAACGAAGTACTCAATTCAGCCCTGCATGCAGGCACGGGAGCCGATCAACTTGGTGCCTGCTGCAGAGGCACCAACTCGAAAACCGCGAAGTGTCGAGCCCTGTTTTTGCATGCAGATTGGCAGGCATCAGACAGTTCAGGCTTCGAGGAGCCGGCATGTATACTCGCTTATATATTGAACCTTTCTTATATGTGTTCTGGCAGGAGGTCGAAGTGGAGATGGAGATGGGCCCCGTGGTTCTGAAGCCGAAGGCTTCCATCCCGCCTTGGTAGATCCCTGCATGCGAGCTTGTCGCCCTGCACACGAGAGTGTCATGTCTCTCTGTGTGTGTGTGTGTGTATCTGAGTGTATAATCCAAACCCAAGCCCCGGTACCCTAACTATATATAACACAATTATATATAGTTCTGGGTGCAGGAGAAGAAAATGCCCACGGTGCCCAAGAGGAAGTGGCTGCTTTCGGAGGAGAATGTTCTGTTTCTTTGTTTAACCCACTCCTCCTTTGCCGTTTGCAGGAGGGCAGTGCCAACAAAAAGGCACGAAAGGGAGCCGGTGCCCAAGATCGCAAGCATCTTCATTTTGGATAACATTTCTAGTGTTCACCCGACAGGGTTGGAAGACCACAAAGATGCCGAAGGCAAGGGTCCGTGGGTTTATAAGGGTTTAGGGTTTATAAGGGTTATAGGGGTTTATAGGGTTTAGAGCTATAGGGTTTAGGGCGATAGATTCTTGGACACAATGTGATATGCATGTGCTGTCGCAGGTGGACGAAAGAAAGCCCAAAGAGCCAGACCATCCGCCGAAGGGCAGCAAGGAGATGCGGTCATGCATGGAGTGCAGTGGTTTGTAAGCACGAATGCAACATGTGGTGAGGAGCACAGGGCATCCGGATCGGGGGGAGCCTCTTCCAAGGCCTGATTCGCTGATGCATGATGTCGTGGGTGCACTGATAACATGGCACACAAACACGGAGAGACACACACACACAAGCACACAGACACACACACACACACACACAAAAGAAAGAAACAGACACAGAGGCACACACACACACACACACACACCGAGACACCGAGACACAGCACACACACACACACACACGAACCACACACACACACACGACACACGACACACACACACACACACACCCAATCCTGACAGGACTCCAGGAAGTGGTGGCCACCGCCACCACCACCCCCTGCAGGGGGTGGGAAAGGCCATGCCCCCCCTCCCCCACCACCACCGGCGCCCCAGACTCCCCCCCCCCCCCCATTGCACCGGCGGGGGCGGTGGCCAATGGGCCGGTCCCACCGCCTGGGGCGGTGGCCAATGGGCCGGTGCCGAAGTGGGATGGAAAAGGATGGAGGATTGGGGAGTGGTGGATGAACCCCACCACTGGCCAATGGCACGGGCTGGGGGCTCAGCACTTCGTGGCAACCGGATCATGATGCATGTCTCGTGGCACATAGGCCTGGTGAAGGGCGATCGCGGCCACGGACTCGCGGTCAAGGCCGGGGAGTGCACGTGAACAACACATTGCAGACATGCATGGTTGTGCACAATGGCAGGACCCATGAACCTGGCATGGGAATCCGTGCACAATCTGTCCGAGGCTGTGGTCCAGTGCATGAGAAAGGGTTAAGGGCTTATAGGTTGTCAGGTAGAAAAGCAGCAGCCACGAACGGCAAAGCAGCCACAGACTCACACAACACAGCAGCCACAGACACACAGAACACAGCAGCCACAGACTCATGCACACAGCACAGCAGCATAGACCCAAGCCCGTTTCTCGTGCACCGGCTGCGGCAAAGAAGCTAGGAAATTGACGGCACAGGCAGCGGGGCCAAAGGAAAAAGGCTTCATGTAAGGTCCGAACATCCGGGGCAAACTCGGAAGTAGGCCGTTCTAGTGCATAGGGGCTAGAACACAGGTTTTATAGATTGATATGGTTTTGGGTCCAGGAACCACATAACTTTATAGATTGATATGGTTGTGTGTGCCTTGGACCCTGAAAGTTTATAGATTGATATGGTTGTCTGTGTTTTTAGGCTACAACTTTATAAATTGATAAATTGTGGGCTCCATATTGCCAGCGATTTTATAGATTGATATGGTTTGGGTTGTGGTTTTAAAAACCCTTTATAGATTGATAAACTTCGTGCCTAGGCTCTAGCTAGCTTGGCAACCTCTAGGCTGGCATCCTTTGCCTCGCTTCCGTGTGCTGTCCGTTCGGAACCTCAGGCATTTTGCCTCTTGTACAGAACACACTGTTTGAAGAAGGAAGAAAAAAAGCTGGCTGCATCGGCTGCATGCACCTGAGATTGTGTGCACCTTGGGACAGGGAGTGTGTACCAGCCTCGCGAAGTTTCCATGTTCTGTGCAAGAGAGAGAAAGAGAGAGAGCGAAAGAGAAGCCAGAGGCAGCCCACAACACCAGAACTCGAACACCCCAAACAACAAAGCCACACAACCAGGAAGCACGAAAACACAGAAACACCAAAACACTTCTAACCCAGAAACACCAAAACACTGTATATATATATATATATATATATACAGTCCCACAATACGAAATCCCAAACCCCATGCAGACAGCAACCCAAACCACAAGCGAAAAGCCTGCAGCCCATGGTGGGGTGCAGTGGGGTGGTGGGGCGGTGGGGTGGTGCCACGTCTATCCGGAAGTGTGTGCATTCAGTGCAGCCAGAAAGAGAGAGCGATATTTGCATGCATGTTTGTGTGCATGTGCAAGGTGCCAGGTCCAGCCCGGCAGTGTGTGCATACATTGCAGCCAGAAAGAGACAGAGACGGTGAGAGAAGGTACAGAGAAACAACCAAAGCCGCCAACCGTAACCAACAAACTCGACCGCCGAGCCCTTTCCTTTGGAGGGCAGCACGTGACATGACACGGAAGTATATTCCCTGCATGATCGACAGCCATGCACGTCAATCACAGATGTGTGCTTGTGCATGCACGAGCATGCACCATTCGCTCGCAGGGCAGTGCTCGTGAGCAGACATGTCATGCATTGCCGCAGGTTTTGAGTTGCCGAGCAGAGCACGTCACGAGCCAGTTGCCACAACCCGCATCCATCATGGCAGTGCATCAAGTGTTGCACCCCGACATCCGAACACACGAGGCTGCCTTCGTTGATAAGTGGTCTTCTGGCGACTTTCCTCACAATGGCCAGTTTGAGGCTTTGAGTTACGTGTCGAACTACAGACTCACCCAGGGTTATGACGTGATCTCATTTCGTGGATGGCACTGCCACATGATTCGCCCGTTGGCGAATCAGGATGGGAGTCTATGGCGGGCCATACAAAACGGCAACGTGAGACCCATGATCATTCGCCCGGCCCCTGCTGGCATCCTCTACATCAACCTTCAAGCCCGCCTCGAGGACGGATTTGTCTGGCTTCAGGGCACCATGCTGTCGGGCCGAGTGGCATGGAAAGGGAGACAACTGGCCACCCTTGACATCAGGATGAGTACTGTCTCGGCGAGAGTCAGAACCGTTCTGTTGCGGCAGAACATCATCAGATCGACCAACAAGGTGGTCTTCATGGGACACACACGCATCCTGAGCAAGACGGCGAAGCTGTGGTCCCCACATGTGAAGAAGTCGCAAATACCAGAAGCAGTTGCCTAAAAGGCGAATGGTCGGAAAGACCGACCCTCGCTACCTGGCTCTAGGGAGGCATATGGCCCCATTTTGATTTCAGTGTTGTTTACTGTGCCCATGCACTCTGATTTGAGTTTTGTTTCGTGTGGCACATGCACAAGAAGCTGCATCGGTTGAAAAAGAAATCATGCAGTCGCTCGTCCTGCTCATGCATGCATTCACAACATACAGACTTTCGCGCAACACCTTTGCACACATGATGCATATATTCATGTTGTGGTCCTCAAGACAGGGTGCCTATTATATATAGTTTCTAGCTATTATATAGTCGCCCAGTGTGTGGATCCGAACCACTCGGGCAATGCTCTCCGGCCGGGTTGTCTGGCCAAAGAGCTTCAGCATGCAGAGCAAGAGATCATGCGATCCACGGGAGATCTGGCGAATGCGAACAGCAGCAAGGCGAGTTTCGAGCGGCGGCTGCCGAAGTAGAGGATCATCGGCAACACCGACCCGAGGTTCGTGGCTTTGCACAAGCATCTGGCACAGTTTTGATGCCCATGCAGAAGCATTGCACAAGCATCTGGCACAGTTTTGATGCCCGTGCAGAAGCATGGCGAAGTTTCATGGAATACATGTTGAAAAAAGAAAGCCTGCATGCAGTCGCTTGCATGCTGTCCTGCATGCTCATTGATGCATTCACAAGATGGACATTCACACAACACCTTTGCACACATGATGCATGTACTCATGTTGTGGTTCTCAAGACATATCACGTTGTCTAGCACGATAGTGAAGATCCGCTGTCGCCAGCGAAGATGATGCAGCAATTTGCGGCGGTGAAAGCCATCATCGGGACCCTCCAGGATGACACGGCTCGCCAACATGTCTTGACGGCACAGCTGCACAGCTTGGAGCAGCAGCTCAAGGCGATGGACTTGGGCAACGAAGACATGGAACCCCTCATGAAGACCATCGCCGACTCCCCTTTCTCCCGGGGCAAAAAGATCAGCTGATCACCATCGTATCCGAGAAGATTGCAAAAGCAGCTGCTAGCAAGAGGACGAAGAAATGCACTCAAGAACTGCCTGATGTTGCTCCGTTCCTCTCGGAAGACGATGTCAGTTGCCTGAGCAATCCCGATCTGAACGTTCTCGCAAAGGTCACACGGCTGAGCATGGTGTTCTCTCGAGTGGGGTGCAGCAACCCAACCGAGCAGTCATGCGGGAGGGCCATCAGCTTCCTCAAGCAACACATGCAGGTAGCAGAATTGGGGGAGCCGGGCGAGTTCTTGAAGTCTGTTCAAGACTTTAAGGCGGCATTGAAAGGACATGTGAAGAAGATGCTGCCTGCTTCAGTGCATGTCCAGACATTCAGCACTCCCGACCAGTTGCCAAAGGACCTGGCCGAACGTTGCTTCAAAGACAGCCCTCAGGCTTCGGTGCGAAGTGGCCCAGTGGGCATCACTGGACCCGTGAGGAAGTCGCACAAGAGTGTTTCGCCTTCCACTTCTGCCAGCTCGTGGCAGCATCAGCCGGGCATGTTCCCGAGTCATATGTTGCCGAGTCATGTGCCGCTGTTGCCGAGTCATGGGCAGCAGTTTATGACGATGCAGCAGATGATGCAGGCATACAATCATATGCAGCAGCAGTGGATGGCACCACCAACCCCGAAGTCCCAAGGCTTGCCGAACCTCGTTCTGTTCAATCAACCGGGGCAGCCTGCAGGACATCAGAGTCAGGGAAAGCCGACCGATGCACAGATCGTTCCTTCCAACCAGGCGGGGCAAGGACATCGATCGGAGCCGCAAGGACATCAATCAGATCCGCATGGGCAACAGCAGCAGATGCAGAACTGGGGGCTGCAGTCCGAGACCACCAACGACCAGAATAAGCCGCCCCTGTAACCAGCCGAGCAAGCTGATGCAATGCTGGCGGCATGGGAGAGTCGCAAGCTGGAATCGGACAAGGGCCCGGCCATGAAGAAGCCGTCTGCTGCCGATGCCGCAGTGGGGCACGGGAATCCGAAGGCCAAGGCCAAATCAAAGGCGAAGGCCAAGGCCAAATCGCAGCCGAAGGCCAAAGCCAAATCGCAGCCGAAGGCCAAAGCCAAGTCGCATGCGAAGGCCAAGGCCATGCCCTCGAAGGAGGTGATGCAAACGATGAGCAAAGAAGCCCGAAAGCCCTACCGGCCTTTTGGTTGCCCCAAATGCCGACGAAGCCCTGGCTGCACTCCGTCGTGCTTTCGCTAAATGCACTCCATCGCACTCCATCGCGACAGGATTTTGAGGATTCTCGGCAGAAGCTATACTCGCGAGCTTTCCATGCATCATGCATCATGCAATGCCATGTCTGAAGCCCCTGCTTTCGCTAAATGCACTCCATCGCGACAGGATTTTGAGGAAAGTCGGCAAAAGCTGCTCGCGAGCTTTCCTTGCATCCTGCATGAATGCCATGCAACCATGTGTGAAGCCCGTGCTGCCAGCTTCTTCCGGATGTGTATGTTGGCAGGCGAGTGTGTGTGTGTGTGTGTGTGTGTGTGTTGTGCCTGCAGTGTGTGCAGGCTCCAAGTGCTGAGGCATGCATGCCATGTGCATATATAGGTTCATAAATATATAATATATACCTTGTAGGTTCAGGTTTATAAATACATAGGGTTTTCAGGGTTATAGGGTTTTAGGGTTTACGGTTATATAGGTTTATATATTATATAGGGGATGTATATATGTATATATATATATATATATATATATATATATATAGGTCTGTCGGCTTATATATAAAGGGTTTTCCCTCGTATGTACATGGTGTATGGTATCTATATGGGTTTATATAGGTATATATTGCTTTTACGTATCGTAAATTTATACACATATGTATATAGATGCTTCATGTTCAGACATGGTTCTCATGCACAAGTTCAGACTATATACAGACAGTCATCCGGTACCACGGATGCATCCAGCCATTGCTCGACTGCAGGGCACTTGCTCGTGGTCAGGGTTTCTTCCATTTTCACGAACTGACTCGTCGAGCACCTCTTCTGAATCATCATGACTGAGACTGCAAGCAGCTCCAAGGCTCCGTTGGCTATGTTGGGCCGCAAGGCATATGTGTCACAACACGGCATAGAGAGTGTGTTGACAGACTTAAAGAAGTCTGGGTTGCTTGCCGACGACGTTACATCTTCCAGAAGCTCCATCAAGCGAGCTCGGGAGGAGGACCTTGCATCTCTTACCGGTGTTTATGGGCCCTTGGTGCAGAAGATGGAGGTCCCGGTGGAGGGCCAGTGCAACAAGACGGTGACGGTGCCATACATCCACCCGGCTGCCTTCCTGAAGCACATCTTCAGTCTTGCTCCGTTGTGGGAATTTCTGCGACAGGAGGTGTTGCCACACAAGGAGACACCATCCTATGCTCGGCCATGGGGTCTCATTTTCTATGCTGATGAAGTGACCCCTGGCAACACACTCAAAGCCAACAATTCCCGCAAAATCCAATGTGTATACTGGAGTATATCCGAACTTGGAAGTCGCGGTTTGGCGTCTGAGGCATTATGGTTTCCACTAACCTGCCTACGGTCGCACCATTGTTCTTCCATCGGCGGGTTGACGTGTTTGTGGCGACTCATGCTTCGACTGTTTTTCACAGATCACGACATGCGAAAAGGCATGGTGGTGGACACTCCGGAAGGAGACCATTTCCCCATCTTCTTGGACTTGAAGATCTTAGTCGCAGATGAAGCGGCCATTAAGCAGTCCATCGAGGGAAAAGGTGCCTCAGGCACCGTCTTCTGCTGCCGATGCAGCAATGTCGTTGCTGCCAGAAGCACGGTGAGTGACATGCGATCTGAGTTCGTGTCCAGCTTGTGCACTGATTATTCGAAATTTCGTTTACACACCAATGCCACGACTCGGGATTTCCTGGCATTCTTGGATGCACAGCATGGCACTGTTAGCAAAGCACAGTTCGAGGCCTTGGAAACAGCCCTGGGATTCAATCTGCGAGTGCACGGGTTGCTCATGGATGACATCATAGGACACAAGGTGCCTGAGGCCATAATGTTCGATTTTTTTCACATCTACCTCGTCCATGGCATCGTTGGAAATGAATTGGGCTGCTTCTTTGCCGAGCTTCGCGATGCAGGTTTCGGCGAGGATCGACTCATGGATTTTGTGTCCAGCTTTCGGTGGCCGAAGCAGTTCGCTTCACCCGATGCAAAAAGAGTTTTTGCAAAACGGGAAAAGAAAACATCTCCTGTGAAGGCTGAGGCTTCTGAGCTCCTCAATGCTCTTCCTGTTTTGCGAATCTTTATCTTGAAGTTTGTCATGACAACAGCGATCAGCCCGGGCACGGTCCAGGCATGCATGTGCTTCCTGATGCTGTGCAAGGTCGTAGACATGCTTCATGATGCTGTGCGAGGACGTGCTGTTGACCCGGCGGTCCTTCACGACACGATCGTGAAACATTCGAACTGCTTGCTAGAGACCTATGGCCAAGATATATGGGTTCCAAAGAACCATATGTCACTTCATCTAGGTGAATTTCTTGCAAAGTTTGGCCACTTGGTGTGGTGCTTCACCCACGAGCGAAAACACAAAGTCGTCAAGCGGTTTGCGAACCAAAAGCTGGATGGCTCCAGGGGCTTCGAGGAGAGTGTCCTGAAGGATGTCTTGGCAGTGCAGTTGAACTGCATATCTGCAGAGCTTCCATCCTCAAAGGTGCGGCTTATGAACCCCAAGCCGGCCCCGAAGAAGCTCGTTGATCTCGTGGGCCAGGTCATGCCATTTGCAACGGGGCCCATTTTGCATGATTTGCGGGCCATGCATGCCGGCGGGTTCGTTTGCACAAAAGGTGATATCGTCGCTTTGGATGCTACGACTGTGGGTCTAGTGCAGTTTCACTTCCAAGCTGCAGGCCAAGTCTGGACTTGTGTCACACCATGGAAGCATGTGTACGAGCACATGTTTGAATGCACAGACCTCGACCCCTTTATCACGACAACGGACAGCATCAAATCGTGCTGCATCTATTCGGAGAAGGATGGCAAAGCGATCGTTTTGGTCTAGCCGCTAGCCGAAAAAAATGCATGCGAGCAAGGTGCCCTGCATGCGAGTCTCTTTCATGAGTGCATGTCTGCATGCGAGCAGTGTGCCCTGCATGCGAGTCTTGAAGTCACCGCTGTATATACTTGCAAGCATGCATGCATGAATCATGCACATGCCTTTTCCTCATGCTTGCACTGCAGAAATATGTGCATGCATGCAATACTTTCTGTGGCGATATATTGCTTGATTTATCAGGCTCTGGACGGCTTCACTCGTGCTTATTGTCATGTAGGTCCTCGGTGGCCTCACTTCTCCTTCTGTGCTTTTGCTGGAGGATATATACATTTTATGTTCATCTATGTATGTGAATATTTGCTGATATTTCAACTTATCCCACTTAGCTAAGTCCAAATAAGTTCACTTAGGTAACTCTAGTTAACTACATAGATAAGTCCGTTTACACAAGTTATATAACCCCACTTATATCCCCCATATCCCCTGTAACCAAATACTAACCACCAAGATCCTTCAAGTAGTCGCTTAGTGCCTGGAGTTACAGCCATTGCTAGCCGGTGTGTACCGGCAGAAGACGAGGACGACTTCGAGGAGCAGCATGATACTCTCCGGCGCTACCAAGCCCGGGGCAGGCAACAGCGGCCTGTCGAGGGAGTGGACTGCGCTAGTGCGCTACAACATTTACTACCCAACCCCACCGATTGCCTTACCTTGCTCTCCCTCCCCCTGTCCCTGCCTGCGTGTGAAGTCAAACTCAGCCCGCAGAATTTTGGGGTGAAGGTGGTTGATTTCGCTGACCGGGCACTCATGTTACGGCGCTGTACTGATGGCGAAGCATTTCGCGTCTGTCTGACACCCATGCTGGCAGTGTCCGTCGCACTAGCACAGTTTTGCGACCCAGTTCTGCGCCTACCTGAAGGACGAGTTTTCGACCTGTCCTGGTATGAGCTCGCTCGGCCGGAGATTTGGTGGTGGCTGCTCTTGGATGAGCTTGCTGGGCTCAAACGGTCGCTCCCCTGTGCCTTGGAAGGACGGAAGTCCCCAGTTCGGGACGGCAGTTCGCGCAGGAGTGCCCGTTGCTGCCGCCTCCCCCCGCCTGTAAGACTAGAGTGCCCTGTGCCTCCCGAGCCCTTCCCGGGAGCCCCGGGCCCCTCCTTCGCTCTCAGGTGCGTCCTCTTCGCTGGTTCGTCGCTGCTTGGCATCGCATCGCCTGGAGCCGAGAGTTGCCTGCACCTAGCAATCAGATCTTCGAAGCCTTTGCGAAAGTGGTTGCCACAGCATTTTGCATTCGAGCTCTGCGGTAGCTGGTAGGAGTGATGGCCTCCTTGGAGGAGGCGCAGGCCCAGCTGCGCAATGCGGCGCAGAACCTCGTGCTCTCGGCATTGGATGAATATGGCCGGCTGGGCTGCAAGCTGGTGTCAGATAAGGGGCAGCCCCACCGGAATCTCGATTCTCGCGACGCTTTCGTCAAGGCCGCCTACCGCAAGATTCTGCTGCTGGTCCATCCCGATAAATGCCAGGGCAGCGAGAAGTCGCATCTTGCGACGAAGGCCCTGCAGGCCATCTGGGAGAGCCGGCTAGGTCTGAGCCGGTTCGGATGGGACTTGTTTTGTTCGCGGAGCTTCCGTTTTCGACTAGAGGACCAGTTCGCGGAAGCAGAGGCCCGCGTGAACTCCTTCAAGAACGCTGCCGGGCCGCAACCTGCAGGCGGACCTTCGAACTTCACCGGACCTGCCGGTGCCCATGCTTCCGGCTCTGATGGCTCGACCGAGGGCGATGCTGGGAGAGCGGCCGGCTCTGCTGAAGCCCCTGCTGACCCTCCTGGCTCAACCGAGGGCGATGCTGGGAGAGCGGTCGGCTCTGCTGAAGCCCTTCATGGCTCGACCGAGGGCGATGCCGGGGTGCTGCCGGCTCGGAGGACGAGGACCTGCAAGGAGGGCGAGGAGATGGACTCCCCGCCGAAGCAGACGGACCCGATGCACTGAAGAGAGTCCGTCAACGTGGCGGCCCTTGGACGAGGCCCTCAACTTGGATTCCGTGAGTTCGGCCTCTACGACGTCCTCCGTTCGATCAGGCTGCGAGCCCGCAACATCAAGGGCGGATCTGTGTGGCGGAGGAGGAGGGGAAGGCGGCTCCAGGGATGCAGGCGCGGCGCTACAGCGGCATCCGGCTATACCGGCCCCGGTCGCGCCGAGCAAGAAGCGCAAGGGCTCCGAGGCGGAGGATGAGAACAAGGTCCGGAACTCCATCATCGGCAAGCTTCCGAGCGCTCTCAAGCAGGAGCTCCGGCTGGACATCCACGAGAGCCTGGTCGGGAAGAGCGCCTTTGGCTTTGCGCGGCTTGTGCGGTACATCTGCCGCAAAGACTTGGGGCTGGTCGAGGTCGACGCGGTCAACTCCTACTTCCAGATGACCGTCCCGTTGCTCCCCGGCGAGGCTCTCCAGCGCTACATCGACCGCCGGGACGAGATCCTTGCATGGCGAGGTCAGCTACGCCTTCGGGATCAAGCGCGAGCAGGCCAAGCGCTTGTTCATCTCTTTGTGCTTCGGCGGGTCCCTGTCGAACTGGTGCTCCGAGGTGATGGGATACATCCCGGAGGAGGACGACCCGATGACCGGCGAGCTCATGAAGACCTTGCAGTGCTTCCAGACGGAGTGCCGGCGCCTTCACCGCAAGATCCGCAGGAGTTTCACTCCGGCGCAGCGGGAGTGGTTCAAGGAGCGCTCCGATGCATCGGCGGCCTTCTCGAAGTACGCTGACCTCGAGCGCAAGTTCCTGGACACCCTCATCGAGGCCGCGGGGAAGCAGCTGGTCTCCGGGGAGCACGACGGGGTCTGTGTTTTTCGGGAGGCCTCGCAGAGAGTCTTGGACGCGGCGGTGGCACTCAAGGAGCTGCCGAACCCCTGGACATTCGCATCCGAGGAGTACTCGGAGTTCGACTGGCACGTGGCTGCGCGGATGCCCCACCGCGCCTTCAGCGAGCTGCGCAACTTGGTTGGCCGCTACAGGGCGAGAGGGAGGTGCGGGCCAACACCGCGGACCTGGTGCGCTACGTGCCCACAACAAGCTGGACGAGAAATGCAGCACCACGAGTACTTCACAGGGCAGGGCTTCTGGGTGGAGCGGCACGGCGAGTACATGCAGCGGCAGATCCAGGAGGTGCTGACGCAGATCAACCGGCACCCCCTCGCTTACACTTGGACTCCGCCGAAGCCCTTCAACCGCGTGGCTTTGCCCACGGCCTGGTGTCGAGCGTCCTTGGCTTTCTGGGCGAGCGCACGATGCCCTCCCTGGACGGCGCGCGCATCAACGGCCTCCTCCTGTGCAGCGACGGCTACATCCTGGACTTCAACAGGGGGCCGCCCAGAAGCGCCGGCGAACCAGGCCTTCGGATCGGTTGGGGTTCGTTGATCTGGCAGCCAAAGAACCCCAGCGGGCTTGGCCGGCTTGTGCGAGATTTCCTGGAAACCAAGGCCAAAACCCTGGAGGAGAACGAGGCCGGGAGAAAGGTCATCGAGGAGTTTGAGCGGGTCCTGCTGAAGAACTAAGCCACTAAGCGATCCTGCGGGAGAAAGTGGACGGCGTCATGACGGAGACGATCGAGATGCTGTACCTCTGGGGGGGCGGCAGCTCCGGCAAGGACGTCCTCAACCTCCTGATCTTCGCCGTGCTGGGCTTGGGGTCGAAAACCTGGGGGTCATGCTGCCCGGGCGCTACCTGGTCGCCGGCGGCCACTCGGCCAACGAGAACGCCAGCCCGCTGCTGGCGCGCGTGGAGCGCAAGAGGGCCGTGTGGGCGAGCGAAGTTCCGCACCACACCCACTTGAATGAAGATTTCGTCAAGCCCTTCTGCGAGCAGGGCGGCGCTCCGGTTCCAGCTCGCCGACTCAACAAGGCGCCACGCGACTTCATCCCCACCTCGGTGCTCCTGGCTACCTCCAATCATCCGGCGCAAGTGGAGCGGAAGTCCATGACGGAGGATAATGGATGGGACAGGCGACTTCGGTTGTTGGAGACGAAAGTCAAATTCACAGCCAAGAAGGAGGACCTGGAGTGCAACGAGATGAAAGCCGACGACAACCTCAAGGCTCGAGTGAACCTCGGCCACTACAACGCCTCCCTGCTATTCCTCGTGGGCGAGCTCTTCCCGACCTTGAAGCCCCGGTTCAACGAAGGCACGGAGTTGGTGCCGAAACCCGCGTGCATGGAGGAAGCTGAGAAGGAGTTCGCTTCCAAGCAGTCCGGCAGCCAGTTCAAGCAGTTCGTCAAGGGCCGCTGCAAGCGGGTGGAGCACAAGATCGACGGCTCCAAGTTCGCGGAAAGCTCTACCTGGGCGATTTGATGCAGATGGCCGAGGTCAGGAAGCTTGGAGCCGACTGACAAAACTGACAAAACTGACAAGCTTTTTCCCGGCCCCGGGGAGAGAAAAAAAACTGGTGGCCCCCATACCAGGCAAGTCTACGGCGGTGCCGTGGGTCCGGGATTGAAATCTCTAAGCTGCCGCACCGCCAGTGGCACCGGCCGCCGAGTCAGCCGAGCTTTAGGCTCCGCGGAGCCGCGGGGCACCGGGAGCGCATGCTTCAGCAGGGTCTCCGAACCGTCGGTGGCCCGCATCGTCATCGAGTCGTAACTCGAAACCTCCCGCGCCGCCCCGTACTGGGGCTGGAAACTCCTGGCCGCATTGGTGGGGGCCCGAAACGCCCCCGCCTCCTCGAGCCGCCGCTGACGGCTCCTCGTCAACTCGTCATTGTGCTTGAACTTGGCCGCATTGTCTTGGTAGACCCGAAAGCTCGCGGCCGGCATCGTCTCGACATCCTCGGGCGCCACCGTCACGGCCGCATGCGGCCTGGCATTGTAGGCTTCCGCCGCCTCTTCCACATGGTCGCCCCAGCCTCCACTGTGCCCCCCCCACCTTGCCCGCCAAATCCTTCTTTAGCGATTCCCTTCTGGCGGTGCACCGCGCCTCCGGGCAGCGCCGCCTCCAAGCCCCGAAACTCGTTCCCCATGTCAGTCGTGACCACGACGTTGGTTTCGTCCTGGACCAGGTCTGATCTCCGCCGCCGCTCGGGTAACCGTCTCCGCCCGCTTGTCGGGAAGAGCCTTCGTGGCCACCTCCGGGTCCCTCGTGTTCTGGCTAAAGTCCACCAGATCCGCTTGCAAGCGGTCGTTCGGTCCCTCGGCCGCACTCTTCCCCAAACTCCGCGGCTTCGGTGCGAGGACCTGCCGTGCCACGTCGCTGCGCAATGCCGCCTGGGCCCGCGCACTCGTTAGGTCCCGCCGCTCCGGAAACTCCCGGCGGGCTATCTGGTAGAGCTTGCGGGGATCCCGCACGTTGAAGTCCCGTGCCAACCGCCCGAGGAGCTCCATCGCCCCGTCTTCCGCCATTTTTATGGGTGGTGCGTTTGGCTCGCGGGGCCGTTTTTGGGCACACAAAGCTTCAACAATAGCTCTTTTGGGCTCAATCCGAGTCGCCCTGCGCCCCTTCTTCTTCTCGAGCTTTTCGACCCGCTTCTGCAGCTTCTTGACCACGCCCCACAGCACCACGCTGAGCTTCTGATAATCGAGAGCCATCAGCTCTCTACCGTCCAAAGTCTTCGTCTTGCACATCGTCGCTCCCAGCTTCCCGCTGGCTTGCACGTCCTGGGCCACGAAGCCTATCTGCTCCTTGCCGCCGTCGATGCGGTCGTAAATCTGCGGCTCCACGGCGTCGAAGGTCTCTTGCAGGTCCCTGGCGGGGATCGGCCGAATGTTCTCCTTGAGGCTGCGGTCCGACAGGTTCACGAAGCCGTAGTTCACTATTACCTCGCCGTTGTTGCTGCCGCCGGTGTTGGGCTCGATGGCCAAATTCGCCAACCCGCCGGTCGTGTTCAGGGACATGAACTGGTCCAGGGCGTTGAGCTGCACGCCGCCGTTGGCCAGCGCCACGAGCTCGCAATTCCCGCCGGCCGGGGCGTTGTTCTGCGTGCCCAGGAAGAGCCGTGCCACGCCCGTCGGGGCCTGGTTGATGACGGCCAGCTCGCAGAAGCCGCCCGGGTCCCCGAGCCCCGTGACGGCGGCGAATTTCGTGTTCAGCTCCAGTCCCGCGGTGCCGCCGGAAAGGTGCAGGTACAGGTATGGGCTCCGGCGCGATGGCGCCGTTGACGAGGAGGGTGTCATTGACCAAGACCCCTTGAACGCCGCCCTCGATGGAGAGCCACGGCGCCGCCGCCACGGGCGCCTCGACCCGCAGGTTGCTCACCACCTCAATATTGGCCGTGACGCTGCTGCTGCTGTTGAAGGTTCCCGTGGCAGCGGTGCTGCCCACGAGCAATTGTGCGAAATCCGCCGTCGTTGCATTGAGGGCTGGCCGCAGCCACGGTCACGTCTCGGTCCAGGCTGATGCCGCCGTCAGCGAAGCTGAACATTTTCTGCTTGCAGACTTTTCTTTCTTTTAAAAACCTGACAGGCAGCAGAGCTGCCGTGTTTTGCATGTGAGTTTTGAAGAACATTTCTTGCATGAGAACTTTCATTGTCTTTGAATAAGCAGATCGGATACCTTTGGCTTTCCCGCGAGTCTGCTCAAAGAGAGATTTTGGCTCAAGTCTGCTCAAAGAGAGAGGCAAGAAATTTTTCTTTAGAGGCCTCTACAGTCCCGTATTGTGCAAGCTAACAGCCTCCAGGTGCTAATCTCAGAGCTTTAGCTGCGTGCACAGTGCCCCCTGTTGGGGGCGCTAGATGGACGGGACAACTCCTGCGCCTCAGTCGGCGCCAGCCACGTGCCCTGTTACAGGGCAGCTTCTGCCGCAGGTCGCCGCTCCGACTGAGCCGGCACCCTTCCCGCCTGAGCCTCCATTGTCCCTGCCGCCAGGATTGCCTTCGGCCGGTCCCGAGTCGGTGTCCGGGGGTGTTAGGGGACTTCGGGACTTCGGGGTTACGGTTGGCGATTTGCCTGGTCAATCCGTTGAGATTAGTGACGAAGACCAGGACCTCGATCAAGACCGCTCGAGTTCTCCTTGGAACCTGCTACATGAGAGGGAGCCTGAGGGCAACAGCCCTCGGGAGTTTGTATTTTCAGAGGACAGGGACTTTTCAGATTTTGATCTCGGGAGTCTTGCCAACCATGCTTCGTGGGATAAGGAACCTTCAGACTTAGCTTACGAACCTTCCCTTGCCGAGGAAAGGGAATGGTACTCTCAGGTAGGGGAAACGGATCCGACAGAACCTCATGAAGCCTTTCCCCCTGGGATTGACCAGGGGGGGGAGGCAGTTTCTTGGTTAAGTGGTGCCGCTGCGGATGATGATGCAATACAGGCAGCCACGGTGGCCTTCTGCAAGAACGACGACTTGATCTGCCCTCGCAGCCTTGGAGCCAGCCCAAGACCTTTCTTCAGAAGTCTTATGATGAAGTTTTTGGTTTTGTGCCTGCAGTGGGGGTGAGGGAAGTCTTCATGGGTTCTGCGTCTTCGGCAGAGCCCGCACCGGAGGCCGCCAGTGAAATACCTTGGACCGTGATCCGTCGCCTGACGCGAGTCCGGTTAACCCAGAGCGATGACGACATTCGAGATGCGGCCTTGAAACGTTTCAAGGTCTTGATACTGCTAGACCCGGAAGCTACTCGCCTTGGGGCAAGCCTGCTCAAACAAGGTTTGGGTCTGGAGCCTGACGAGGTGATCGCTTCTAGCATTGCAGATGCCTTTCGTGCCAAGGCCTCCACGACAATCCAGAAACGAGCCCTCTCGCTGCAATCCTTGGCTATCATGGCTTATGACCTAGGCTTTGAGTCACCCTGGCGCTTGACCGAGCCCCAGGCCTATGAGATCTTCAGCAAGCTTCGCAGCTCGGATGCCAAGGCCTCGACTGCCTCCCACTTCGTGGAAGCTCTGGGATTTCTGCACGGGGTGGCTGTGTTCAACTTCATGGCCTTGGACATCATTTTATCTTCAAGGGTGCGGGGCATTGCAAGAGACATGAAGCTTCACAAAGAACCGCTCAAGCAGCGAGATCCTTTATCTTATGCGAGGGTCAGAGCCTTGGAGGGGCTGATGACCAAGACTTCAACTTGGGTACAATGCGTGCTCGGCTTCATGCTCTTCTGCCTGCACTCTTGTTGCCGCTGGGCGGATGGCCAGCGAGTCAAGGGACTCGAGCTGGTGGGAGAAGGCCGTGGGCAACTTTTGATTGCGTCAGGTCTGGGGTCTAAGACGTCATTGACGGCTGACGCCCAAACGAAATTTCTGCCGTACGTATGCGTGGCTGAGGGGGCGAGCGGCCAGCCTTGGGCAAAGTTGTGGCTGCTTGCCCGTACTGCTGAAGGCCTTGACTTCTCGGCGGGGTGCCTTCCGTCGTGGTCTCAGCGTGCCAACTGCTGGGCAACGGTGCCTATGAGTTCGGAGGAGGGATCAGACCTCCTTGAGGAGTTCCTCCTTACCATTGACATGGGGGCCTCCCGTGACGAATCGATTGGTACCCACAGCTTGAAGGCTACCCTGCTTTCATGGGTGGGGTGGAGCTCCACAGTCCATTTTAGTGCCAAGGAGAAGTTGCTACTTGGGCATCACTTCAAACGGGGAGGTTCATCTAACCTCATCTATTCCCGCCAGTACTACATCTCCCTTGCGGGTAAGCTCCTTGCACTTTTCGAGAGCATTAGGGCTGGAGATTTTGATCCCGACATGTCAACCTCTGACAGAGTTGCAGCTGTTGCGTCGAGACACTTCAGCCGCCCGGAGCCAGACGCCCCGGTACCCCCGAACGAGGATCCCGACGAGCTGGAGTCGCTGGCTTCTAGGTCTGCCGAGTCCGAGGCGGAGTTCTTCGGGCATCCAACGGTGGCTACTGGATCAAGGCTCCCCTTTACGGAATGCACAGTTGACCAGTTGATGATCCACTCCCTGTCAAACATCGTGCACAAACTGAGGGATGCTTCAAGCTTCTTTTGCGGGAGGCCGGTCACCTCTAGGTACAGAGTCTTCACCACTGAAGACGAGGAGGAGCCCGAGCCGTGTATTCAGTGTCGTCGGGCATCGGAGTTTTGACCAGGTCTGAAACGCCGCAGACAAAAGCCGTATGGAGCGAGTGGTTGCAACATTCACAAATTGGGATGCCAGGACCTGTCGAAGCCTCATAAGTCTTGAAACAGTCCATGCTGATCGGCCGGCTTTTGTGCCCGTGGCCTCGGTCGTGTAGTTATGGCGCTACGATGGCATAGGGCTGATACGCCAGGTTGGGCATACCCCTTTGTGTTTTGGGTCGGTGAGTTTCTCACCCGAGACCCGAGTGATATATCTGACGACAGAACTTGTCGGTTTGACCCATGACGGCTTGAGAGAGAAGCGCTGGGATTGATTAACGCGGTGATGACTGTAAGTCCGAGTCACCACATGCAAATGTCAGCCGGTATCTCACGATGCCCGGGGCTGGCCTTGTGATCGTGTATCGCCTTGTGCCGGCCAGGGTTGGCCCGTGGCACGGGGGGATGATTGAGCTGCCCTTATTGCGGCCGTGGCTCACAGCGGATGACCATGATGGTTGCTGGCACGAGAGCATCACCTGTCAAACGTTGATCCAAGATCACCGAACTCGGGGGTTTAATCGTGATCGCTTGCAGCCATGACGTCGGCCACCTTGGACTCGGAGGCTGCTTTTCAAGAAAGGTGTCTCCGAATCGGCATGACGCCGGAGCTGTATGGCAAGCTCAAAGATAAGGGCTATGACACCTTCGGGAAGATCGCCTTTGCTGCTGCGAGCTCCCCGCAGGCCCTTACCGATGAGGCCATCGATGTGTGGTTGGCCACGGTCGTAGATCCAAGGCCTTCAGCGTTCCAGGTTTCGGTGATCAGGCGGCTCCTATTTGAAAGCCAGTCGCTCAACATCGCTGACTTGCGGACCCGTGTGGAAGGCCAGCCTGAAAACACAATCAAGAAACTTCCCACTGCTGAACGAATAGCCAGACAAGAAGCTCAGCAGGCTCGCTTGAAGGGAGTCGTCTTCACGGTGTCGAACCAGCCATCCCATGCGAGCATCGATCAGGTCACCGACATGTTGGAAAACAATTCCTTGCGGTACCTGCCGATGAACAGGTGGACCTCCCGGTCACAGGAGCTGAGCTTGGCAAAGAAGGACTCATCGATCCAAATCGACGCGGAGGGAAACCTCAAGCTAGGCACTAAGGTCCCGGATCCTGTTTGCGACACAAATGGTGCTTATGCGCTTCGGCAAGCCTTCTTTCGCCGCTCGCTGGCTCTGGACCTAGGGAACCTCTGCACCTTTGAGGTGATGGAGGAGTGGGTCAACACCATCTTCGAACTGACCCAGCGGCAGGTTCCCACCGGGTACACCAAGGTCTCCTTGTCCCAGATTGTAGCAGCAGATAAGGAACTCTTCATCAGGGCAGCGAACAACCTTGAAGGAAAGCTCCAGAAACCAGTGGGAGCTACCAAGCCGTTGGATGCAGAGCTGAAGCGTTTGTCTGTGTCGCATGACATCACGCAGTTCTTGTCACCCTTGCTCACCCCGCCTCCGCCGGCCCATCCTACCAAGAGGCCCCAGGATGGTGACGACGATGCACCGCCCAAGAAGACTAAAGGCAAAGGTGACAAAGGCAACAAAGGCGGGGGCAAGGGCAAGACACCGAGGATCGAGATACCTGAAGGTTGTTCCGCACGTGATTCGCAGAACCGACCGAATTGTTTTGGGTTTAACTTGGGCACCTGTAAGGCCAAGGTGGTGAAAGGTAGGTGTCCGAAAGGATTTCACCAGTGTTGGAAAATAGGCTGCAACAAGAATCACCCGTACAGTGAATGTACGCATGGCATGCAGTGACCCAGCCAATCGGGAGGTGGGCCAGCTCCTGAGGCAGCTCCCTTGGCCCACGGTGCAAGCCGAGCTACATGCTCAGAGTCTTTCGCGAAGACTCTTAATTCAGTCAATGTGCCGCCGTCCCGTCTTGACTTGCAAAAGTTGCATGAACATCTTGTTGCGGATGGCTTGCTACGTCCTGACGCCAGAACTCAGCAACCGAATTTTGGGGTTGGGGCTTTTTCCCAGGGAGGGCTTCAAGGTCTGCGTGGTGAGTGTAAGAACTTCCCACAAACGACCAAAGCTATTACAGCTTTCGTGCGAGCTCAACTCCCGGATCTTTTCTTTACGACTGTTTTCCTGTTTTGCAATTCCATGACATCAATGCATGTAGATTCCAAGAATCATAAGTCCCCCACTGGTGTCATACCGATCGGAACGTTCACAGGAGGCCACATCTGGGCCCAGTGTGACCATGGTTCGGTTATGCGCCCCATCAACGGCACACCGACCGCTGGCGAATTGCTTGATGTGTCTGCTGGACCCATCACCTTCGAGGCTTACTCCCGAGGCCATTGTACCGAACCGTGGCATGGCAACAGACTGATCGCTGTGGCATTTTGTGTCTCTGATTTGTCCAAACTTCCTGTCGCCGATGCAAATTCCCTTTTGTCCCTTGGGTTTAGGCCCCCGACCTCCTTGGGTTTCCCACTTCAGATCGCCGAGCAGGCGCGGCCCCCGCGACCTGATGACACGTGGATCTTCGAGATCTTTTCGGGCACTGGGGGTTTCGCTCGAGCTTGCCTCCGGAAAGGCTTCAAGGTTCTAGCCTTTGATGCTAAATTAGCCGGGGCCATGGTCCCTACTGCAAATCTTGACTTCTCCACAGACGCAGGCCGCGAGGTCTTTATGTCAATGTTGAAGCAGTGCAAACCTTTTCACGTCCACCTAGGGGTGCCGGCAGGTTCTGCGTCAGCCTCCCAGCGGACCGCGAAACCCGATAGCCGATCACAGGGCGCCCGTTTGAGCACGCTTCGGACGCCGACACATTGCTTGGGTGTGCCCCAGATCGTGTGGTCTTCTGCCGAAGGCATCAAGCTTAGGAAGGAAAATGCCCTTTTCCGGTTCTGCTTCGATGTCATTTGCTTATGCCTCGACGCCAACATTTCAGTCAGTGTCGAAAACCCGGCCAACTCTTTGCTGTGGCATGTCTTCCAACGCTTTGCTTCTCAGGCTGCCATCAGGTGGCCACCTAGCCAACTTGAACAGGTTATCTTTGCCATGTGTGCGCATGGGGGTGACCGCCCCAAGCAGTGCAAGCTTCTGGCTTCCAAAGGCCTCTTTTCCCCTCTGGCAGCCAAGTGCAACAAAGATCATGAGCATGCTCCATGGTGGTCGCACTCCCGCCTCAGTGCGTGCTATCCGCCTTTGCTCTGCACACGCATGGCGGACTGTGTCTCGTCTCTAGCATCACAGTCGGGCCGGGTCCTCACGGCGCCCGATGACTTCCATGCAAAGGCCATGGCTGCAGCAGCCAAGCAAAGCAAGCGGCATGCCCCGCTCATTCCGGAGTTTCACAAGGTCACCTGGGAAACTCCCCGCTTCAAGCCAGATAAGTCTTGCAAGATCCTCCTGACCCACGTTGAGGGGGATAGTGGGGGTCAGACTTCGGATCCAAAGAACTTGAAACCTGTCAAGGTAGGCCATTGGCTCAATATGGATCAGCATGTATCGAAAGCCCGAACGTTGCAGCATCCTGTGGACAAGACGATTGCAGTTGACCCACCTGTGTGGGAAGCCGTCAACTTTTGCATGGCGCATGACTCTGCCAAAGCTAATCAGCTTAGGAAGCTTGAGCTCCTTAAGGTGAAGCTCCTTGCCAAATCCCTTGAAGAGGAAGAGACAAAACTTCATGCCTCCTTCCCGCCTTGGTTCGAGAAGGTGGTCAAAGGAAAAAGGATTTGCTTGTGGGAGTCTCTCTTGAAAAATCATGGCTTTGACGACATGGGGGTAGTGGATCTGATGAAGAAAGGGGTGCCTTTGGTAGGAACTTCGGAAAAACCTGAATGCTTTAAGACCAAGGTGGCCATGGCTTCCATGTCCGAATCAGAACTCAGGGCCACTGCCTCTTTGCGCCGTCGTGCTGCCTTGTCAAAACCGAACCGTGCGACCCCTGAAGAGATTTCGCTTCTTCAGGAGGCCTCTAACTCCGAGGTTACCGATAACTTCATAGAGGGACCCTACACCGAGGCCCAGGTCACTGAAATTTTCGGCCATTCGGATTGGGGCATCATTCCCAGGTTCGTTCTTGAGCAAGGCCTTGAGAAGAAGATTCGACCCATAGATGATGGGCATGCTTCGCAGGTCAATGAGGCTTTCACTTCCTTGATTAAGCTGGAACTTCAAGGGGCCGACTTCGTTGCGGGTCTGGCCCTGCTGATCTCCCAGGCCGAAAAGGAACGTTCAGAGCGCCTAGGTGTCGCTGCTAGGAAGTGGGTGGGTCGGACCCTAGACCTCTCAAAAGCTTATAAACAACTAGGGGTACTCCCGCAACACCGTGACATCGCCGTCATCTGCCATCCCAATGAAAATGGCGAACCGCAATTCTTTATTGCGAACGCACTGATGTTCGGCTTGACATCGTCGGTGTATGGATTTGTAAGAGTAGCTAGAAGCTTGCATTTCCTGCTGGCCAAAGTGCTGAAGATCCCTTCAGCCAACTACTTCGACGATTACCCTCTCTTCACGTTGAGAGATGGGGCCCACGAGCTTGATGGTTTAACTTCCGAATTCCTAGAATTGCTGGGGTGGCGCTTCGCCCAGACCGGGGTAAAGGGTCAACCGTACGAGGAGGCCTTCACAGTCCTCGGAATGCAGCTGGACATCAGTCGTTTGCATGAAGGTGCTGCCGTGCTGGCAAACAAGGAAGGCCGTGTCAAGCGCATTTCCGAAATGCTGGGCAGCATTTTTGACAAGGGAGCCCTGGGCAGGCATGAGGCGCAAGTTCTCCTTGGACTCTTGAACTATGCCTCAGGTTTCTTTGCAGGCCGATCCTTGAAGCCAGCGTGCCACTTCCTGCTCTCCTTGGTAAGGGGGAAGCGCCAAACGGCTGCCGAAATAAAGCGCTTCTGCAAAACTACGCAGGCTGTCTTGAGCACCACTCCACCTAGAGTCCTTCGCATCTTTGACCCTCGACCGCCCATTCATGTTTGGACGGATGGAGCTTGGGAAGATCCTTGGGCGGGAATAGGTGCGGTTGTTCTTGACACACTAGATGATAGTGCCAGGGTTTTTGCCGGTTGTGTACCTGCTAAGCTTTTGGAACGCTGGAAGCTGGATGTGGGATCGCAACTCATATGCGAGATCGAGCTCTACGCTTTGGTTACTCTGCGTCGCATGCTCCAAAACAGCTTGTGCAACAGAAGAGTCATCTTTTGGCTTGACAACGAGGCCGCACGCACCTCAGCCATCAAAGGTTTGAGCCAGAGCGAGTCGATGTATCGCCTCGCCCATTATCTTGCAGTGATCGAAGCTGAGGCGCCTTGTATCGCTTGGTACGAGAGAGTGCCTTCCTTTTCCAACATAGCCGATCCCCCTTCACGAGGTGAGGGGCACAGCATCCTCAGCTTGGTAGGCGCCAAGGTCGTGGAAGCTTTCATCCATGATGAAAGCTCAAACCAGAGATTCCTTCATCAGGGGTTCGCGTGATGTCGGGGGCATTCAGGACGCTGCTCCCTTGATCTTGGAAATCTCAGCTTGCCAAACCCGAGATGCTTGATCATCGGTTTGGCCGGAGCTGTGGGGGATCCTGAATCAGAATTCACCCTTGATCACCGTGCGAATAAAAAGAGTGTGGCGCGAGAGTTCTGTGAATCCTCATTTAACTTACATTGTGAGGATCTCTGATACAATATATCTTTTACTGATTGATCTTGCCATATTCCGAGATGGATTGATTTTTATATGATTGGCATCGCTTTGATACGTGATATCTGATATCACTCGACCTTTGCGAAACATCAGGTTTTTGAAAGAAGAACATTTTCTGCTTGCAGACTTTTCTTTCTTTTAAAAACCTGACAGGCAGCAGAGCTGCCGTGTTTTGCATGTGAGTTTTGAAGAACATTTCTTGCATGAGAACTTTCATTGTCTTTGAATAAGCAGATCGGATACCTTTGGCTTTCCCGCGAGTCTGCTCAAAGAGAGAGGCAAGAAATTTTTCTTTCCCACCCTCCCACCCAATACGGACGGGGGGCATTCAGGACGCTGCTCCCTTGATCTTGGAAATCTCAGCTTGCCAAACCCGAGATGCTTGATCATCGGTTTGGCCGGAGCTGTGGGGGCTCCTGAATCAGAATTCACCCTTGATCACCGTGCGAATAAAAAGAGTGTGGCGCGAGAGTTCTGTGAATCCTCATTTAACTTACATTGTGAGGATCTCTGATACAATATATCTTTTACTGATTGATCTTGCCATATTCCGAGATGGATTGATTTTTATATGATTGGCATCGCTTTGATACGTGATATCTGATATCACTCGACCTTTGCGAAACATCAGGTTTTTGAAAGAAGGCCAGCAGCGCCCCGTCCTCCTTGCGGATGGTGACCAGGGCGTTCTGGACCTGCAGGTCCCCCGCCGAGCTCCGAGCTCGGGCGTGTCCACGTAGCTCGTGGCCGAGGAAATGCTTGTGCTGACGGAGCTGTTAGTTTCGTAGTTGGCGAGCTCGCCGGCTACGAAGCTCGAGACCTCGCTTTGGTCCCAGTAGGGCACCAGCTCGCCGGCGATGAGCGCCAGCGCCTAGGCCTCGTTCTGGTACTGGGACAGGTTGAGCGCATCGAGGGCCGCGGTGATCGCAGCACCGGTTTCCACCTGGGTGTACGTCTGGCTGCGGGCATAGGAGTCCGATTCGATGAGGATGGTGTCGTCCAGGTTTTGGAAGCTGGCGGTGAGGGCCCCCGCCACGGAGAGGTTCCTGAGGACGTTCGTGCCTCTCAGGATGTTGAAGGTCGGCCCACCGTTCCAGGTCTGCCCGTTGCTCAGGGTGACGGGCACCAGGGCTGCGGTGATGGCCGCTTGCACTTGAGCTATCGTCCAGTAGGAGCTCAGATCGATGGTGGCCAGCCCCGCCGCGATGGCTGCGTCCATCGCAGCGGTGTCTGAGAAGGCCGCGAGCGCTGCAGCTATCGCGACGTCCCGCTGCACAACGGTCCCATAGGGCACCAGCGCATCGGCGATGGCTTGGGTCATCTCCAGCGTGGTGCTGTGGTCTGCCAGCTGGGTGTCGGTGTAAGTGTTGGCCGACGCAATCGCGGCCAGATGTTCGCCGTGGCTTCCGCCCGGGTGAAGTGATTTGTCAGGGCCGGCGTGATGACATCGTCGGTTTGCTGGGTCGTGTAAAATCCGCCGAGCTGGGTCGTCATCCAGGACTCGCTGGCCTTCGGCGCCAGCAAAGCATCCACCTCCCCGCGACTGTAGCTGTCCACAAAGAAGCTCAGAGTCCAATTGTCATTTGCCAGGGCAATGCTCAGGGGAGCGGTGGCGTGCAAGTTGCGGATTTGGTTGGTCCCGGCGAGCAGGTCCCAGGTAATCTCCCCGGGCCAGGCGGGTGCATTGACGAGATTGGTGGCCCCGCCCAGGGTGGCGATCTCGGCCAGGAGCCCGTCGATGGCGCTTTGCAGCAGGGAGGTGAGGTCCCCGCTGGTGGCGAAGGGCCCGGCGCTTTGCAGCGCCAGGATGGCTGCATCCGCGGCGTCCAGCCGGCTGTCTTGGAGGGCCTGGCCGGCGTTTTTTTGCGCCCTGGGTGACGTACCCAAGCAGCGCCGTGGCCAGGTCGCTGCCGGTCTGATAGCCGGCGCCCTGCAGAGTTGCAAGCAGTGCCTCGGCCGCGTCGAGCCGGCCGTCTCTCAATGCCAGTGCGGCGTCGAGGGCCGTCTGCTGCACATACTGCAGCAGCGCAGTGGCGATGAGCTGACTGACGTCCAGCGGCTGCAGGGCGTCCAAAGCGGACTGGTTGGCCTTGGCCGCCAGGCCCACGATAAGGGACGTCCCGACAAAGTTCAGGCTCGAGGTGTTGGTGATGGCCTGGGCCTGGACCGTGGCGAGGTCCGCGGCCAGGGCGTAGGGGGTTAGGTCCGGAGCTGCGGGCAGGGCGGCCACCTGGCCCTGCAGGGCCGCGATGGCTGCTGCATTGACTCCGATGGCCGCGGTGTGTGCCGTGTGCTCCGTCTGCGGGGTGTAGGCTGTGAGCACCGTCGCCAGCTGTCCCGCGGAGATGCCTTGCAGTTCGATGACCGGCGGCTCCGTGACGCCGTCGTCGAGGATCCTCCCGGTCAGGGTGGAAGGGAATACTTTTATGGGCCTGGGTGTTAGTAAATACTTAACCATGCTACAAGAGAAAGTAACTATGTAGTAACTAGTTTGTAAGTATGTTGTAAGTATGTTGTAACTATATATAAACCTCGTAGCAAGTTATAGCAGTTACTATCTTTCTTGTACATTATACATATCATGTTGTATCTATGTTATTTTTTTGAAGTCGAGCTAACTAGTTACTATCTTTTTTCTTGGCTAATCATAGTCAATTATAGAGCATGTCTTCAAGAGAAATGGAATGAGGAATTCCTGTTTTTGCAGGGAATATATTTGGTTTGCTCAGAACATTTTTTGGTTGGATGAGGAAACGTATATACAGTTTTCGAGATGAGGAGAAAGTCTGGTCCGGCCATGGTATATGCACGGGTGCATGGATTCAAGAACTATTTTAGGATCTGGCGAAATGTGAATTGGTCGCAGCAGCTTTGGGCAGCTATGCGGAAGGTATATAGCATATTGCTTTTCGTGGCATGGCCGAGGAGAACATATGCTTGTTTCAGAAGCCCTGCTGGCTCTAGAGGATATATATATGCAACCGGCATGGTAAAATTAGAGAGATCGACCGAGCAATGTGTTGCTCCATTTTGCATATCCATTCGGAAAAGAAGAAGCCATGCGATTGGCTCTTGATGTGTCCAAGCCTGCATGGCTGGTTGATGCATGGCATGGTATAATTTTGTTCTGAAGGTGTGTGTAGCTGTCATGCAAGATAGGTATGCTTGTGCTGGAGCAATTTGCAGCAGCAATCAGTTCCTTTCAGTTGTGTGTTTTGTTTGCCATGGCTTCAGTCATGGACGTGAAAGTGGAGGCGGCCGTGAAGGAGTGCTTGGCCAGCTCCAGACCGATGCTGGAGAAGTTGGATCAAGCCACTGGGATTTTGATGAGAAGCGGGCTTGCCTTCAAAAGCATGGTCCGTGTTCAGGACGTCTTGGTTCACCCTCAGAACCGAGGAGGCCAGATGCTCAGTGTGGAAGAGGTCCACCTCAAAGGAGCGAAGTTGCTCCAGGTCGGGATAAAGAAGGACTTATTGGCGAGGTCAGTGTGTTTTGCCGTGGGGCATGCAGACGACGTCAAGAAGTCCCAAGTTGCGGCGAACCAGCAACTGGTCCAGGGTCACCCAGACCTCCTGGCAGAGGTGACTGGTCAGGAGCGGTTCCTGGCGGTCGGTGCTAGCCACACCTCGGCTTTCTTTCGGGCAGTGGCAGCAGGGAAGACGGCTCCTGCTTCTGCAGACTTGATCGACCGCTTTGAAAGACATCCTAGAGAATGGATGGGAGTGGGTGGTCATCTCGGCTGCTGCAGAGACAGCCTTTCCGGATTTGCCTCGATTCTACTCGCTGGCCCTGAACGCACATGCCGCGAACTTGAAACAGATGAACGAGATAGAGGCTGCATCGCAGATGGCTCTTGGCTTGCGAAATGGCCTCACGTTGAAGAAGGCCATCGAAGAAGTCCGTGCGGCTGAGCCTTTGTGCAAAGCCTCTTCGATGCGATTGGGTATTACGCATCTCACTACGGGGGCGGCGAGAAAATGCCGTTGATCGCCTTCCTCGGGAAATTTGGATGTCCGGCTGCAAGTAGGCTACTTTTGTATGTATGTATTGAAAGCCTATATATTATTGCTGTATGCATTTGCAAGCCTGCTTTTGGCTGGGAAGCCTCATTTGGCTATGTGTACGGAAGACTAAACATGGCTATATGAGCTTTGCACGGCTAAATGGGCATAAAGCCATGAGAATGGCTACGTGCCAGTTAATAAGCCTTGCAGCTTTTCCGAAATCTAAAGCCTCCATGGCTATATTAGGTGGGAAGCCTGCAGATGGCTGGCATGCATGCAAGCTGCTTATGCATGTTTATTGCAAATCCAGGAAAGCTGCATGGCACCGTGATGATTGGAGAAGACATGATGCGATGCTTGGCATTCTTGGAGATGAAGAACAGCACGGGCCTCTATCCGTTTGTCAGGCTGGGCATGTGGGCCACAATGATCTCCTCCTCCGTGCAGAAAGACGGAATCAGCAGGATCCTCGTCAAAGCCGATGCGGACGAGCTGAAGGATGTAAAGATGCGGTCTGACGTCGACGAGGTCGAGCAGTTGATGTCCGACAGCTGGGAGCTCATGAAGAGTTGTGCCTTGGATGAAGGTGCACGAGTGGGTGCCTATGGTCGATTGGCTGTTCGGCTCATTTTGAAGCTCACCAACAAGGAGAAGTTTGGAAAGGAGCCTGCAGGTTTCGAGAACTTCCAAGAGATTGCCAAGCTCTTTGCAGCGGACTTGCAGAAGAAGGGTGGCCAGGTCCAGTCGAGCAGCTCATCGGGCATGGCTCCGGAGAAGGAGCTGAAGGTGCACAATTTGATCGAAGCGGATGCCGCCAAAGTCGCCCTTTTGAAGAACAACCACATGGAGCTTGGCAAGTTGCAACTTGGTGGTCGGTCGTATCAGGTTTTGTGTGCGAGGGCGACGTATACAGCCAGATGACTGTACACAGGCACGTGCTTGCCACTTCGCAGTACTTGAAGCCATGCTGGCTTTGCATGTATATAGTCTAGGGATGAATTGCTAATGCAGGATTTATTGTATATTTTTCACACATGAACCATTGCATGCATACCCGAAATCCTGAAAATTAGCATGCTATCGATGGCTATGTATGTCAAGTGTGACTGCATTGGGTGTTGTTTCATTTGGGCAGGAAAAGACGGAACAGGGTGAGGCTGGTTTGTAAAGGAGGTTGAACCCATACATCCAGGAATATGTGTGCCATTGCAGAGGCGATGTCCTGTCACAGGAGGGCTGCAGGGTAGAAGTCTTTGGACAATGGCTCGTGTGCAAAGCATGATGCAGGTTCTCTACAGGCTTTTGGCGCTTGGAGCCCCCTTGGATGGGATCTATACATGGTATACAAAAGTGTATTTTCGTTCGTAAGCACAGCTAAGATTTCCTATCATTGTAGCATTGCAAGGACTGAACCTTGTGCATGTGTACAGAAAAATGAAACATGCAGTGTGTTTGTGTACATGTGGAGCTGCAGGTACAGTTGCAACAAGAGTTTCGGCAACAAATTGTTCGAGTTCATGTCGGTTGCAGAGGACCATTGCTTGCTGGTTTGCAAGCCATTGTTCGAAGATCCGATCGAAGCCCAAGTGGCTTTCAGCGATCTCAAGACTTGGAAGGTGCAGAAGGGACCGGTCGCCACTCTTTGTGGAGGTGACATGAAGAGCAAGACCATGCTAATCGCCGGCCACCCCTTGCTTGAGGAGGAAACGGCGAAGTGCACGGTGCAAGCAACTTTGATGGAGGCATTCGCAGCCCATGCAGTGCCAGCCGACGAGATCGCCTTCAGCAAGCACCCAACCAATGTGTACACGTTGAAATCCGTGAAGAAAGCAAAGGCTTTGAAGTTGTTGCCGTGCGGCATTGTGAGCAAGGCCAAGGGCGACACCAAAGGGAAGGTTGTTCTCAAGCATGCTTCTGGTGAATGGATCGTCTCACCTTTCAAGGCTTTGTCGGATTTCGACAACGAGAAGACGGGGTGCTTGATCCCGTACTTTTGGGTCAAGACCGCCACGGATGAGGAGATGGTTTGCATGGAGCATGCGACCGCTGCCGCCTCTCGTCTTCCAGCTGCAGAAGTGGGATCTCGACCGACCCTGCCAGGGCATCGATGTGTGCCGTTGCCGAAAGAACGGCCTGGCCAACGCTCGCTTCCCGCTGCCGGTGTTCTGCCCCCTGGACTGCATCGTCCCCGTGGAGGAGGGCAAGATTTTGTGAGCCACTGCTTGGACGGCGAGAGTCTGGTGCTGACGGGCTTTCCGGGGACCGGCAAGACCCACCTGGCCAAGAGGATCGTCGAGGCTCTGAGGGAGCACGGGGACACGGTGCACATTATTACGAAGACCCATGCGGCTGTGCAGAACGTGGGCCTGGGGGCTCAGACGGCGGACCACTGGGTGCGGCGCAATGTGCGGAACGGCCACTGCAGCGCAACCTGGCTGGTCATAGAAGAGCTCACTCAGTTATAGATACTCCCTTGTGGGCTGACATAGCTTGTCTGAGCATGAACAAGAAGATTCGGTTTCTGCTCTTGGGAGACTTTAGGCAGCTGCCGGCTGTGCTGGATAGCTTCGCGGGGGCGGAGGTCTGCAAGGAGCTCAAACACAGCTAGCTGCTGCACGATCTGGCCGGGGGCTGGTGCCACGAGCTCTCGGAGCGCTGGCGCTTCGACGAGCGGATCTTCGAGTTCTTGACTTGGCCCGGCGGCGCTTCCCGAGGCGGGGGGAGCCCGACGTGAGCCTCGTCATCTCCCATGCGAAGCGACTGCAGATCAACGAACGGGAGAACCGCCGGCTCGCGCCCGCCGATGCACTGGTGGTGCAGTACGAGGCTCGCGGGGCGGTGCCGACGAATGCGCCGCAGACCATGAGGGTCACGCTTGATCGGGGCCGGCGGCAAGGTGCAGAAGGGCACCTTCCTGACCGTGGAAGCCGTGGAGGGCGACGTCGTCCGGTTGGAGAGCGGGCAATGCTTCGCGGGCCCGGAGTTGCTGAAGCACACTCGGCTTTGCAGCGCGATTACGTATGCTTCGGTTCAGGGGCTGACCCTGAGAGGGCGGGTTTGGCTCTATGACGTGGAGAGCCCGCACTTCACGCTCAAGCACCTGTACATGGGCTGCTCCCGGGCCACGAATTCGGAGCTTTTGAGCGTCCTGTAGTGGCAATGTCAGCATTCATCAAATTTGATGAGTTGTGACAGTGACCCGTTTTGGAGCTATCGAACCCGGTTTTGTGGGGGTGTCAGCTTTAGTCAAATCTGACTAATTGTGACACCGGCCCGTTTTGGAGCTATTGAGTGACGTTTTGTGGGGGTGGCAGGTTTCGCCAATCTGGCGAGTTGTGGCACCGGCCAGTTTTTGATGAACAAATGGCTTGAATGTGAGTGTTGGGAGCAAGGTCGGAAGTCCGACTTTGCTCTTTTGTCGAAGCCACCATCGCAGCTTGCCTGCGTACGGTATTATTTTCACGTGGAAAGTTTGATTTTGAAATCTTATTTCAAAATCAACGCTTGGAGTTTTCAAACGTCTCTTGATGTCAGTCTGCAACTGTGGAGTCATGCGAAGATGCGAAATTCCAGTTGCCGTTGTGCTCTGAGGTAGAGCGCAATTTTTGTTTTCTGGGCCGCTAGAGGTTCCTAGTTCTTTCTAGCAGGCTCCGTGACCCCTGTAACCCGAGTTTTCGCCCTTAGGGCGTGTGCACGCTGGTGGCCGCGGACTGCCAGCAGATGGACATTGACTCCTCCGATTACGAGGGGTCTGAGGCCAGTAGCCTCTCTTTGGTTAGCCGGCACGTTAACCGCTTGCAGCTCGATATCAACACCTTGAGAGCGCACGTTGCCGCGTGCGAGCGGCGCATCAGGGCCCTGGAGCAGCAGGCTCCCCCTCCGACGCCTGCGCCGGTGCAGTTTAGTTTTCTTGGCTCTTTCTTTCAGTGCTGTCTTGGTCGCCAGCTGCAATGAGCGGGCCTTCTGCTGATGGGGATTCTCAAGCTTCCAGCGGTTTTCAGGTTGTGTCCGCCTCTGCTGCTGCTTCCGGTAGCGCAGGGGGTGTGGCGGTAGCAGCTTCAGAGTCAGACTTGTCAAATCGTCAAGAGAGCATGGATGTGACGGCCGCAGCTTCAGAACCAGACTTGTCAAAGCTTCAAGAGACCATTCGCGAAGCAATCTTCTCATGCAGTGAGCCGCAGGTTCTTCAGTTGCCTTGGGAAATGCCGGGTTTGAATTTGATTTTTGGCAAGGGTGCTTTAGATCAGATTCTGCCTGCTGAGCCTCCCAAAATAGTGTTCCCAGTCCCTACAGCGGCAGATGCTCCGATTGAGGAACAGGCCAAGGCTGCAAAGAGGGTTAAGACTGCCGCTTTTGGGCAGCCTTGCTTCCGTGGGTGTGTGAACTTCAAGAACGTTCTTTCGGATGCTGAGCTTGAAGCTGGAGCCTGGCAGAGATCTCTTGAGAAGTGGCATTTTCTTTTGACCTTAGATCCTTCGGTTTCGCTTGTGGGTTCTTCCTTGGCCGGCATGGGAACTGCTGATGGCATGCAGTCCCTACGCGAACTGTTTGGCAGGAAGAAGGTAGCCACTGTGAGTAAGCGTGCGGCATCCTTGCTTAAGTACGTAAAGTTCATGCAGGAGTGTCGGCCCTTTTCAGGCCCCTTCCCTTTTTCCACTGAAAAATGTGATGAGTATGTCAGGCACTTGAGGGCTTGTGATGCCAAAGTCGGAGCTGTTGACGGGTTCACTGAATCGGTGAGATTCGCGATCCACGTTGTAGGAGTTAGTTGCCGCGGGCCTTCCGACAAAATTTTTAGCCCTTGGTCGATTGGTCTTAAAGGCCTCATGCAGTCGCAGAAGGCAGAGCGTGTGAGTGCACTTGTCTTGTCTGTGGAGCAAGTCTCTTTCCTCGAGGCGTGCTTGGGCAACTCAGAGCTTGATGCCAAGGACCGTTATGCCTGTGGCGCTTTCTTGTTTTGCATCTACAGCAGGAGCCGAGTCGGTGATGTGAAGAAAATCCACAGGTGTATAGTGGACACTGTGGACGCAGCTGGGGAAATTCAGGGTTTTCTTGAATGTGGTACTCGGGTGCATAAGTCCGCAAGGCAAGCAGCCGTGCAGGGAGTATCTATGCCCTTAGTCGCTCCTGTCTGGGGTGTTGGACCAGAGCCTTGGGGACCCAAGTTCGTGGCAATCGCTGCTGAAGTTGGTTTAGCGTTCGACTCGGCTCGTGCGGGGCCTCTTCTTCCCGCACCGCTGGAGTCAGGCGAGTGGAGCCAGAGAGCAGTGACCACAGATGAGGCTGGGCAGTGGCTGCGTGCGCTACTCAGCCGATGCAACAAATGCTCCGATGGTGCGTCAGGGCATTCGCTTAAGGCTACCACTCTTGATTGGTGCGGCAAATATGGAGTCAGCGAGCAAGCTCAAACCCTTCTTGGTCACCATGCCCTCAAGGGTTTGTCTATGTATGCTTATATGCGTGACAAGCTTGCGGCACCGCTGAGAGCTTATGACGGAATGCTCCGAAGCATTCGGCATGGCCTTTTCATTCCAGATGCAACTAGATCCGGGTTACTCAAAGCTGAAGGTGAGGCTCATGTCATGGAGCTCAGCCACGCGCCCAGCCTCAGCACGGCCCCTCCTCACGTGCGTGATGGTGGGGTTTTCGGAGACGAGACTCCTGTTGGGTCTGAAGGCGAGGCTCAGCACTATAGCAAGGCTGCATGGACGCCTGAACGAGAAGCTCAGTCTTTCCTTGATAATCAATTCACGGGTGAAGCTGAGGACGAAGCTGATGGAGTTGAGAGTCGGGCCCCTGAGCCCGCGCCAAGTTCTTCGTCTTCTTCATCGTCGAGCGACTCGGACAGTTCTGATGGGGAGCCCGGGACTGACTGGATCGATGCCTTCGATTCTGGGCTCGGGAATTCCCTTGAGAAGTCTAACCTCTCTGCGCCTGACATGGAATTTTGGAGACATGATAAAACTATGACCATCCACTCCATTGCGGTTGGTGCTTCTGGAGATGTGTTCACTTGTGGTCGTAAGAGAACAGGTTGGAGACTCGTCTCTGTGTCAATTGCAAGAAGAGCAAACCTTTGAGGGACATCGGATCTTTGAATGCTGTGTTGAATAAAAGCTTGAAACGATGATTTCTATGCCACGGCCTGAGTTGCTCCACAAAGAGTGGTTGCCGGGAAGTCCGGCCGACTCAAGGTTGGGTGCGAGGTGCACCCAGCTCAGTCTGTCAAACAGTCGAGCATCCCTTTTGGGCTGCGATGTGCAGCCCAAGGGATTTCGTGGCCAGTTCGAGTGAGCCAATCCTGGACTCCGGGAGGTTCGAGGGCTCGAGCTGCGAGGTGCAGTGCGGGCAAAATTTTGCGGAGTGCGAAAGGAGAGCCAAATGGTTGCACGAGGCACCTGGGGGCTTGATCGAGCGTTGTGTCGAACTTGCTGTGGCAGCATATGCAGATTTCTGACTTGCGTGTTTTTGCGCTCAAGATTTTTAATTTTCGGAACCGGGCAGATTGCGAGGTGCAATGGCGGGGTTGCCTGTGGCAACGTCCTTCACGGAATCCAAGGCTGCTTTCGCTAAGAGAGCTTTGGAGGTCGGGCTCGCGCAAGCCGAAGTGGACCATCTTGTCTCCAAACAGGTTGACACTCTCTCGAAGTTAGCTTTTGTCCTGGTTCCTCCTGGGAAGGTTCCTGAGGACAGTGCAGTCGTTGGGCTGCTCCCAGCAGGTTCAAGTCAGGGAGCTATACCAGGGCTCAAGCGGCTTCTTTTCGAAGCCCATACATTGATTGTGTCAGCCCTCAAACAAAAGGTGGAGCGCACTGAGGAGTCCTTGCCTCTCACTCTTGACATAGCTGAGCGAGAAGATCGTTTGGCAAGCCAGAAAACACGTTTGGGCGGGTTGACCTTTCAAGGTGAAGAGGAGGTCGCTCATGGTGCATACGACCTTGTCTTCTCGATGGCCCAGAAGAACGAGCTCATTTGGTTGGCGCCTGAGAAGTTCAACGCACGGCGTGCAGAAATCAGTGCCAAGAAGCCTTCTAAAGAGCTCGTCATAGATGGGAGCGGCGTTGCGGTTAAAGATAAGCCCCAGGTCCTTAACTGTGCCATCAACTCTGACTTAGACTTGGTTTTGGCCATGCGCCGCAGAGCGCTTGCATTCGACCTTGTGGGGCTCATGAGTTTTGATGTGGCTAACCGCTATCATCAGGCACTTGTTCAACGTCTCCAGGAGGCTCCCCCTCCCAACTATGCCAAGGTCTCTATTGCTCAGGTTCTCCGCGCTGATCGAGCGGCATTCCTCCGGCTGGCAGAGTTGCTGCCCACTTTGCGCCGCAGCGGCGTGGGCAAGCTTCCTTTGGACGAGCAGCTTCCCAACATCCTGCTCGACCCTTCAGTCGCTTACCACTTGTTTCCCCTGCCAGCAGGCTCAACCTCCACTGCAAAGTTGGATGACAGGCCCGATCCACCTACCAAGCGTCCGAATCCTCGCCTTCCGAACCCTAAGAAGGCCCCAAAGAGGTATGCTTTCTCGGTCCCAAAAGAGCTTGTTGGCAAAGCGCATCAAACTCCTAAAGGCCACCGTCTGTGCTGGGGTTTCAACTTGCCGTGCGGTTGCAAGGACGCCAAGCCTGGCGGAAAGTGCGCTAAGGGCCTTCACTTGTGTGCAGAGGCGGGATGCTTGAAACCGCATAGCTTGCAGGACCACTCTTGACAGTCATCCGGTCCTCCCTGTCAGGGCCTCGCCGCGTCAGACAGAACTGTTGCAGCTGAGGCTACTCTTCAACGACTTGAAGGGCAGCCTTTGAGCGAGCTCGTGACCGTGGAGGTCTTTTGCGGAACTGGGCGGCTCAGTGCTTCCCTTCGTAGTGAAGGTTTTGATGCCTTCGGTGTTGACCATGTGGTCGGCAAAACTGCATGCTGTTCAGTCCTTCAGCTTGATCTTACTTGTGCGGCCTCTATTGCACATCTGTGGAGCATCTTGAAGGATCCCGCTGTCAAATTCATTCATTTTGCGCCGCCCTGCGGTACCGCAAGCAGGGCCCGTGACATCCAGTTTCCCGGCGCCCCACCTGTCCTCCGCAATGAGAGCCACCCCGAAGGGGTTCCTGATCTTTCGGAGATCCCTGCACTCAGAGTGCAAAAGGCTAACATGCTGTATAAGTTGACTCTTGAGCTAAGTTCTTTCTGTCTTCTGAACGGCAAATATTTTTCCTGTCAAAATCCGAGCCGCAGCTACCTTTGGCTGCTTCCTCAGTGGCAGCAGTTCTTGAAGCGCTCGGATGTCTTTCAAACTGTTTTTCATCACTGTGAGTTTGGTGGCCTGCGTCGCAAAGAGACGCTCCTGGTGCATAACATCCCCAAATTCCGCGAGCTTCATCGTTTGTGCTCTGGCAAACATGTGCATCTGGGCTGGGGCAAGGTCGGCCGTACGTGGGCAACAAGCGCTGAGACGGCTTACCCCTGGGGCCTCTGCAAGTGCATGGCGAGCTTGCTGAAAGATCACTTTTTGGAACTTGGCTGTCGCCAATCTCCCAAAGCTATTGATGAAGGCGCACCCGCCATCCAAGGCGCGCGTGCCTTCACTGGAGCCCAGACTCGCAAGCGCGTGCCTCCGCTGCTTAGCGAATTCGCTTCGGTTCACACTGTCACTGTGCCTTCCAATCTTGCCGCGTCTTTCTTGCGCCCTGGCCAAAAGCTCCCGTCTCCGTGGAAGCCCGGAGATGATGCTGCTTGTTCTCCGGCAATCGAGTGCTTTCCGGCAGGTAGCCGTGTCCTTCGTGCCCATGTGGTGCGCAGGGGGATTGAGGTTGGCCCTAGTCCCACGGCTGTTTCCCCTAATTCCGGTTTAGTCCCTGCAGCCCCTCGTGTGTTAGGTGCCGAGGGTTTTGAGAAGAACAGTCTGCTGAAGCCTCCTAGCAGAAAGCGTCCTTTTGCTAATGTTCTTGGATGTGCTGAGGCTTCTCTCGGTCTGAATCCTGACGATACCGAGGTTCGAGAAGCCATGATGTCGGGTTCTGCCGAGCGGGTTGCTTCGCTTGTAAACAAGTTGCCTAAGGTACACCGCAAAGACTTGTCCTTGTTGCTTGACTTGCTTCCTTCAGAACCTCTTCGTTGGGAGGGCGATGCTGGAGCGAAATCGTTCCAAGGTGGCAGCTTTGTTCACGGCCCGATGTGCGGGGTGCGATCAACGACCAAGCAGTTCCCGGAAACTGTCAAGGCAATGTGCTCTTATGTCAAAGGCCTTTTTCCAGGTTTGGAGTTCGGAACTGTTGGGATGTTCAGGGATGTGTCTGCTCAGCCACACCGGGACTCGAATAATGAAGTCTCCACAGACAATGCGATTGCTGCGCTATCAGATTTTTCTGATGGCTCTGTGTGGATGGAAGATCCTGCGGGTGACGTCGAGCTTGAAATCAAAGGTCGCGCAGTGAGAGGTGTTTGCATTCCCGTCACCCATGAAGGCTTCAGGTTCGATGGCCGTCGCCTTCATTGCACAAGGCCTTGGACAGGCCGGCGTGACGTTATTGTTGCGTACATGCCGAGGGGCCCTAAGAAACTTAAAGCTGAGCACGCCTCTTTCTTGACGAGCCTGGGATTTGTGCTTGATCGAGTGACTTCGGGGTCCCAAGTCTCGCCTGGGGACATGACTAAGGCTGTCATTGGTGTGTACCGTACACCATCACAGTTTGTTGAACAGGCAATTAAGGTTGGGCACCCCACGCAGCTCTCCGCTCTCATGCCTTCCGAGATCTCCTGTGCGGTCCGGAGAATCCATAAAGAAGGTGAGGCCAATGTGGCCAAGGAGCGCACCGCAACACTTCGCCGGTGGGTTAGCAGAGCAGCCGACTTAGAGCCAGCCGAGCGCGCGCTAAAGGCTGACCTTCCTCAGTTTCGAAAGGATGTTCTTAGTCCTAAACGCCTCGCTCTTTTCGAGGAGCTGTTGCTTGAAGTGGGACATGAGGACGTTGACCTTGTCAAAGACATTGCCCATGGGTTTGACTTGACAGGCAAGCTGCCTAGATCAAATGTTTTCGCTAAGCGCTTTCGTCCTGCGGAGCAGAGTGAATCTCAACTTCGATCCAGCGCTAAGAGGCTGCGTGATGGTCTCCTGGCCACGATCAAAGCTTCGGAGGATCCTGTGATTGACCAAGGTGTTCTTAAGGCGACGATGAAGGAACTTGAGCGCGGCTTCGTTGATGGACCTTTGTCTCCAGACCAGATCCCTGAAGATGCGTCCTTAACACATCGTTTCGGAGTCATTCAAGGGAGCAATGAAGACGGTCCAAAGGTGAGGCCCATAGATAATTACCTGTCTTCCCAAGTCAATGCCGCAGTCACGCAGGTTGAACAAGTCAGCGTGCACACCATTGACGTGGTGGCCGGGATGCTGGCCTGTTGGTTAAACGAGTGGTTCATCAGCGGGCGCCCAGAGCACAGCACGCCAGTGTGCAAGGCGTGGGACCTGCGTACCGCTTATAAACAACTTCCCCTTTCGGATTTAGCTTACGCCTTAGATAGTTTCTTTGTGCTCTTCAACATTGAGCGTGGGGCGAGCGAAATCTATCGCCAGAGGGTGCTTCCCTTCGGCTCAACAGCCAGCGTGACCAGCTTCATAAGAACGGCTTACGCCATTTGGAAATTAGGTGCCGTAGGGTTGACTCTTGTCTGGAGTGAATATTTTGATGATTATCTGAATCTTTGCGGCAAGGCTTTTGCTCGGCATAACGACTTTGTAATCTCCATGTTATTCCAACTGCTGGGATGGGAGATCTCGAAGGATAAGGAGCTCAGCTACGATGCACTTTGCGTCGTCCTGGGAGTGCAAGTGAACCTTCGTGATGCCAAGCTCGGTTTGGCTTACTTGGAGAACACCGTGAAGAGGCGGACTGAGGCGTTGTGTGACATTGAGCGGGCTTTAGCAACTGGTAAGCTTGAACCTAAAGAAAGTGAAAAGCTAAGGGGCCGGTTGCAGTTCGCTTGTTGCCAAATTTTTGGTCGGCGACCAAAGGCGGCTTTGAAGTTGTTGTCGCAGCACTCCAGGCAACGCAGATGGGACGTCAGCCAACTCACGCGGCTCGCACTCACT